TGTCCTTCAGCTGATGAGGGACAAACACGATGTGGCACACACACGATAGCCTACTACTCAGCCATAGGAAGTTATGAAATTGTGATACATGCTCTGACATAGAGGAGCCTTGAAAACATTATGCTAAGTGAATACACCAGACATAAAAGGGCATACATTGTATGGTTTCACTATATGAAATAACCACAACAGTCAGATTTATAGAGACAGACAGCGGGATCTGGGTGTGAGGGTAGGGTGAGCTGTACACTTAAAAGTGATAAATTTGGTATTATGTATATTTTACCACAATAATAATTTAAAGAACCCCAAAGACCTGGGAGGAGGGTTTAGGTTGGATTCCCATAGGATAATGGTGGCTACCCAAACTACCCAAACTAGAATTTCCAAAACAAGCACACAAGATGAATGGGGAAGATGAATTAAGTCACCCTTGGCACATACCTACAGCATAACTAGGAGAGAATTTTATAAATTTCAGTTTAAATGTGACTGGAAAAATAAATACCTGAGAGCAGCAGATTTTATTCCAGTTTCCACAAAATACACCAGGTCAGGTGGAGAATTCACAGAAGAGGGTGCAATGAAGGTTTGGTGGGACAGGAGAGTTATAGGGCCCATTCCCAGAAAGAGGGGAGCCCTCCCTAAGTGAGGAAGTATTGACACCCTCGCTGAAACCTGGGAGTCAGAAGGAAATGGTGGTCTTGGGAAGACATTATTTCCAAGGGAAGGAAGCATCTTAGAAGGGCATAGTTAATGGGAAGGAATAAAAAACAACTAAAGATGAGCATTCTACCCTGACATGTTAATATAAACAAACCAAAGACAGACAACAAAGGCACCATTTATTTATTTATTTATGGCCAGGGCTGGGTTTGAACCTGCCACCTCCAGAATATGGGGCCGGCACCCTTCCCTTTTGAGCCACAGGCACCGCCCAAAGGCACCATTTATTAAACTGTACTTCATGAGAGCAAGAGAAGAAGCTCTTCAACTAAGAAAACTAGTAAGCCATGCTAAGTCTTCCACTCTTCTACATAGGATCGCCTGCTATCACCGGTCCGGGAAAACCCAATACAAACACACATGAATAGAAAAGGAAAAACAAGCATCCATGTACAGGTATTATAAGAAAGCAAAAATTTATAATAATTAAGTTTTCAAGAGACAAATAGTCACAAAACAAAAATATGTATTAAAATACTAAGTAGAAAAGCAAATGCTGACATATTAAACAACCACTAATCATAGAAACAAAAACTCAGAACAGAAATGAACAAAAAAATGTGGTACAAGACCTACCAAACTGAAAAAGGAAACTGAAGCTAAAGAAAATATGTCAGAAATAAAGATTACAGCTTAACTTTGCAAAAGGAGATAGAACGACCGAACATGTAAAAAGTGTAAAGCAAAGAAGTGGGGGGGGGGGAGATATTAAATAGAAAGTAACAAAAAGTGGTAAAAGCAGAAGAAAGTGATACACAGAGAAGATAAATAACATCCAACAGTCATACCATTTGAGCCCCTGAATCAGGAGTAAAACAACAGAAAATGAGTAATATCTAAAGCTGTGATTCAAGAAAACTTTGCTGAAATAAAAGAAGACCTGAATCCACATGTTGACTTGTACTTTGGAGCATATGGCCCCATATAAGCTTGTCAAACTACTATTAAAAAGAAAAGGCCAGGTGTGGTGGCTCACGCCTGTCATTCTAGCACTCTGGGAGGCTGAGGTCGGAGGATCACTTGAGCTCAAGGGTTTGGGACCAGCCTGAGCAAAACCAAGACCCTGTCTCTACTAAAGACAGAAAAAATTAGCTGGGCTGTTGTGAAGGACATCTATAGTCCCAGCTACTTGGGAGGCTGACGCAGGAGGATCACTTGAAACCAGCAGTTTGAGGTTGTAGTAAGCTACCTCAACATTCTGGCCTGGGCAATAGTGTGAGACTGTCAAAAAAAAAAAAAAGAAGATGGGGGAGTGAGGAGGGAAAGGAGAGGAGAAAGAAGGGAAGGAAGGGGAGAGGAAGGGAGGAGAGGAGAGGGGAAGAGAGGAGAGGAGAGGAATCACTTAAACCCAGGAGTTTGAGGTTGCAGTGAGCTACCTCAACGTTCTGGCCTGGGCAACAGACGCCATAGCACTCTAAACTGGGAAGATATGGCAGCACCTGTGGCTCAGTGAGTTGGGCGCTGGCCCTATATACCAAGGGTGGCGGGTTCAAACCTGGTCCTGGCCAAACTGTAACAAAAAAATAGCTGGGTGTTGTGGAGGGTGCCTGTAGTTCCAGCTACTCCAAGAGAATTGCCTAAGCCCAAGGGCTGAAGGTTGCTGTGAGCTGTGACTTAACAGCACTCTGCTGAGGGAGACAAAGCGAGACTCTGTCTCAAAAAAAAAAAAAGATAGAGAGGAGAGGGAGAGGAGGGGAAGAGAGGGCGGAGGGGAGGTTTTTATTATACACAATTCCCAGAAAAAGTGCAAATGACCTTAAATATATGAAAAAAAAATGATGCCTTATCCATCAATGCTGTAGTATCTTTACCATGCCTAATAAAATATTTACACACACACAGATTCTGAACTATTTGGCTAAAATGATATGTTTGAGATCTGTCTTAATAAATTCCAACAGAAAAATGTGGGGAATATCAATAAAATATGATTAGTAAAATGCATTAATTATATTTATTATCGTTGTATTACCCGTATTATCCTTATATTTATGAATATTTGTATATTTGCACAGTGAAAGGTTTAAACATAGAGAATGAGCTGAATAAACTTATTTAATAAAATCCACACAATGGAGTCCTTGCAGCTACAAACAAGGAATGAGCAAGTTGTAACCTACAGGAGTCATTAAGTGAAAACCACAGGGTAAAGGGCATACAGTGTACCTTTTGCTGAAGAAAGGAAATAAAGATGTGTATGTGTATATACACAAATAAATATGCACATATATTGGCAAAAGACACTGGAAGGGCAAACCTTCTAGTTTCCAGTCCATATGGCTACCTGTGTGGGAGGATGGAGGATAGTGGTCAGAAGTCGGGTGGAAGGAAGGGTAATAAAAGCAAGACTGTGTGTATACCTTCTTAGGTCAGTCTGAACTTTGAACAGTGCAATTGTTTTGCCTATTTAAATACACATTAAATCAAAAAAGAAAGACTAAGTAAACCCTAAAATGAAAGCAACGTACCAAAGAATACACTGCGGTAATGATAATTTGAATTAATATTATTTGTACTCACGATTTTTAATAATGCATTTCCTAGCTCTGTTTACTCAAACAGACTAAAAGCAGTGACACTCCAGTAGCAATGAGCACATCTAGTGCCCAGTTTGGTTTCTCAATACTGTTCCCCAGTAAAAGAGACAAAGCTTCCTTCCAACCTTGGAGAAATTGGTTGATTCCAAAACTGGGCAGGAAGAGTGTAAGATAAGCCTGAAACATCCAAAAACAGAGACAGGCTCAGAAGTAATAGGGGCATTTCCACCTGGCATGGAAGGAACTGAGGGGTAAGAACAATTCAGAGTAAAAACAATACCTATGGCAATTGATTAGGAAAATTCATGTCCCTGTAGAAAGAGAAAGAAAACTGGAGGTGACAATTACAACTCATTACTCTGAAAATTAGTGATTAAAAGCAGAATTAAGCATTTTTTCATTTTTCCAACTGATGAGTGAAAGCTCTTCTTTAAAAAAAATGCCAATAATAAACGTTTTACTTTCATAGAAATAATTGCAATAGCAATAAATACTATTTATTAATATGGCAGGGATTCATATTTTACATTATTTTATAAAAAGTACTGGCTAAAAGGGGAGGCTAAAAAAAGAGAAAGATATCAAGTACAATGATTATCGCTTTTTAAGGGATTCTGAATTCCAAGCTTTCTTTTGGAAATAAATTCCTAATGCTTACCATTGTATATGTGAGCTGTATACATATATATACAAAAATTTTTTAATAGGCTCTACGTTTAATCAAGATATGCTAAGTCCCTTGGACTTCTACTTGGAAAAGCCAACGAAATAACTTTAAAACTTGCCTATCAGCTCGGCGCCTGTGGCTCAAGCGGCTAAGGCGCCAGCCACATTGGGTTCGAATCTCTAGCCCGGGCCCACCAAATAACAATGACGGCTGCAACCAAAAAATGGCCAGGCGTTGTGGCGGGCGCCTGTGGTCCCAGCTACTTGGGAGGCTGAGGCAGGAGACTCTCTTGAGCCCAGGAGTTGGAGGTTGCTGTGAGCTGTGATGCCATGGCACTCTACCCAGGGGGATAGCTTGAGGCTCCGTCTCACAAAAAAAACAAAAAAACAAAAAAACAAAAAAAAACTTGGCTATCAAGATCTATTAAGTTTACAACTATTCTGTATAATTTTGCAAATGATCAGCGTTTAATCCAACTTAGAATGCCGACTGGAAATTTTTCAGTATTCTAAAGCTAATCTTCTGCAAAAAAATTTACAAAGACCTAGATTGACACCCCCACCAGGGCTCTGGAATCCCACCAAATAAATACAATTTTTAAAAAAGAGTTCCCATCATCTGTATTTACTCAAGATTCCCTGAGCCACTTCTAGCCTAGTCGATCTGTTCAATACACTCCCAACAAAATTATCCTCTTTGCAGCCAGTCATTTTCTTCCTCGTATTTGCATTCAGATCTGCCTTTAGACAGATATTTCACCTTTAATGTATGTACTCACTGGACCCTGACTTCTACTGACAAGTTGGCGAGTGCATAATAAAACTCTGATTGTAACATCAGCAAGTGACAGGAGCAAAAAGAAAATTTAATGACATTACTGACTTTATCTGTTGAGCCCTTTAGCCCACTATGCCTATGATAAATATCTTAGAAATTATATTTGCATGTAAACAGGTATTATTTGTCAACAATCTTTTGGAAAATGAACTCCTCAACTCTTACAGTGTTATGTTAGTTAATATGCAGGTCCACTTGCCTAGGTGAGAAAAAGGAAAAAAAAAAAACACAACTTGATCACACTTGTTTTTTTCCAAAAGAAAAACACGAACATTTAATCACCTTTAAATAATGTATGAAATAATTTACATGCTATACATTCTCAAACACAGTGAACATAAATCCAATTTTATATGACATATACACAATCTGCTTTTTGCCAACATGTACCCTGTAGGTCACTTAGGATGTTAACTGATTTCTCAGTCCATGTAAGAAGAAATAAACACATACACATATGCCTAGAGTTGAAGATTAATAAACCAAAGAGTTGAATACAAGAAGTCTGCCACAGAAGATTCTAAAACCATAAGCAGTGACTGGAACACCAAGGCACAAAAGCTTCCCTTTGTGGTCACAGAGGTTAAGGTTCATTCCTGGTGCTTATACATGGAGATAGGACTGGTTAATTATATACTGTATTTTATAGTGCATTTCTGTTACCACTTAAAAACAAGTATTTTTCTTATTACATAATGTATTACAGAACATTGGAAAAATAAACAGGATTAGATAAGCTCTCATACAATAAAGCTTTTTTCCATTTGAAAAAGATATTTATGTTCACAATTAAAATAATATATATAAGTATAATAGAAGCATGAAGGATCCGATATAGATAACCTAGTAACCCTGAATCATACCTCATGCCACTGTGTTACTTAAATTTTCAATTTTAAAGCCAGGCTGATACTATCAACTGCAATACATTTATTAATTGAAAGATATGTACTAGTCACAGAATAAACACTAACTACAACATGGCAAAATGAAATCCTTCCCAGAGTTTAAGTTGCTTTTGTTCAACATTAACTCTGTACTAGAGTCTCCTTAATTCTCCTTTTTTTCTTCTATTCTTAACGGAGAAGAAAAAAACTGCTCCACATAGAAATGACTGCTTTACCATTCACGTTACCAAGTAAAATCTAAACTATGAGAACTTCCCTTTTTATTTTACCTGAAAGTTTCTAGGTAAACTAAAAGTGAGATATTCTAGGTATACCAATTTTGTTAAGAGATAAGGCAGTTTAAAAATATACACATATATGCAGAGCTGTTTCTGGGAACAGTTTTAGAGCTCTAGCACATTAAACTTACATAGATATCATAGGAATAAAGCCAACCACAAAATAAAAATCAATGGAATGCAGTCATCCATATACAAAAGGCAGTCAAATGTGCTTATACAGATTTTTAAAAAATCAATAATCTGTGCTGAAAATAACTCATCAAATGTAGCACTCAACAAATTATAACAAGAATAAAACCTTCAGTTTCATTAATTTTGAACATGGAAATGGGGCTGGCTAAACATGAATTATAAAAAGTGTAGTTCTGCCACTGTTTATCTTTGAGTTTAATGTAGCATGCAACCCCTGCGGTGATGAGAGTGCAACTCTTCACAAACAAAACAAGGCTGACCAAAAGAAAAAACAAAAAGCCTTACTGTCGGCTATAAAACTTAAGGGTAAAGAAAAAACTGAGAATTTAAGGCTTTCTTAGAAACATTTTTCATGGCACTTCAACATTAAACATCACTAAAAGGCAAAATATGTAAATACTCAGTTACACAGTTACGTAACTGAAAGTACATGCCATGTCAATTAGTAAGGAACCATTCTGTAAAGTTTTATTTTCTCTAAGTTAAAATATACTTAAGAAAGGCTATTTGTGTTTGGCTGCAATTAACATACAAATCATACAGAAATGTCAACTCCCTAGTGTACAGTGCAAACTGTGTTTTGAATAAATCCACCAAATACCACTCATTTCTTATAGAACTGAATGGCATTCCTTGCTAGAAGCACAATTAAGCTGACTGACTTCTCTCACAAGAGCAGTTATTGTCCTTTCTTCAATTATTAGCCTACTGTGTGTATTAAACTCTAAGATCATTATTAGACAGATTCCTTTTGGTCATGCACACAGACCATCTTCACAATAATCCATTTCTTATACTACAGTTAGTCCAGAAAACACTCTGTAAGTCTAACAAGTCATTCTTGCCACTCCATACTCTAAGCTGACCACAGCAGGCTCTGATTTGGAGAACTCTTCTGCATATTCACTGTACCGATTATCTGCTGGGCTGCTGCCCTCTATAGTTCGAAGAGTATCATTCACAGGTAGCAGAGTCTGCTCCTTAAAACACAGGGAAGTTTTGAGGGTAGGTGATTCAGGATGAACTGAATTTAACAATTCCTTGGTGAGGACACCATCTGTCTGCTTATTTTTCCGTTGCTTAATTTTCTAGAACAAACACACATTTAAAAACAATCACTAACTGCACATAACACATGATCAATATATGGTAGATGAAAAAGAAAAACATGCTTTTGCAAATCTTCTTTCTCTCTTGTATAATGAAAAACTAAATCTCAAAAAATTAATTACATCTAATGCACATGACACTGTTGAAAATCCTAATTGTTTATTTACAATTTTTGCAGTAAAAAATGATCAGTTTTTATATTTATTAAATAAACAAATAATGTAGCCAGATTTGACTGCAAACCACTAGGCCTTCACATTTGAAAAAGACCTACATTACCTAGAAAGGATAACAAGTAAACATTTTATAATAAAAGAAATATATATGAAACATTCACTTTGAAATCACAACTATGTAACATTCACAAATTTATTTATTTAAAGGTCTTATCCCATTGACTACAAACATTTTCTCACACGGTTTTCCTACAATAATTTGTCAGGTGAAAATAACAGGCTTTAGAACATAATAGAACTTTTTTTCTTTTTTTAAAAATAGAATAATGTAAAAAGCACTCTTTGGCAGAGTATGATACTCTCCAGATTTATGAACTGAATTACAGATAATCTTGTATTTGAACCTTGGGATTGCCTCTCTTTACTATATCCTTCTACAATTGAGACAAATAGTCGTTACTTCCTTATTGAACAGGCAGACAAGACAGTCTTACTGAGTTACATAACTGTGCAGGATTTAAAAAGTATATATGTACTTACTGATCCTTTTTGTTTATATATGATAGCAAAAGAAAGATTATACGAAAATCTTAAGGTGGAGAGGGATTTCTTAAACAAGACACACATAAAAAGCATAAAACAAAGATTGATCAAAATTTGACTACATGACAATTCAAAATATCTATATAAAGCATATCATAAATAAAGTGGAAAAGACAAGAACAGGCTGGATAAAGCCATTTGCAATGTACATAACTAATAAAGAATTGGTGTCTGGTATATAAAGAACTCTTACAAATCAATAAGAAAAAGGCAAATGAGCCAACAGAAAAATGGGCTACGGTTTGAATCGCCCATTCATGGAAAAGGAAAATCAATGGTCAGCAAACATATGGAAAGTCATTCATCTTCATTTGTAATCATGGAAGTCCAAAACTGAAAACAATTCAAATACTGAATGAACAGGCTGTAGTATATTCATATAGTAGAAAATTATATACTAGTTATTACTAAAGCAGATGAATTAAAGTTGTATGTATCAACATGGATACATTTCAAAACAATGTTGAGCAAAATAAAACATAAACAATATGACAACTTTTATATAGTTTTAAACATGCAGTTTCTTAAGCAGGGCATACACGTCATTTGTTGCCCTTTATATCTCACATAAAGACTACACAAATAGCCTTTGGTATATTTTCAACATGTAGTGCAACCAATGTAATATCAAGAAAAACAAGCAATATAAATATAAATAAATCAAGAAAAACAGCAATATAAATTATTTGTGGATACAAATATATGCTGAAAAGTGTAATGATATACACATAAATGATTAACAGCAAATTCAGCACAGTGAATCTGCCTACCTCAAAATATTACAGATGGAGGAATATCAAGAGCACCTAGGGCCTTCAAATATATTTATCTATAATGTTTTATTTCTTAAAATAAAAATAAGAAAGATCTTAAGCACATATGATAAGTGTTAAAATCTCACAAAGGTACTTGTGGATATACAGGTATTTATTAAGTTTACCTCTACACCAGCGGTTCTCAACCTGTGGGTCACAACCCCTTTTTAACAATGAAGATACATTGCAGCATTAGGGAGGTTGAAAACCACTGCTCTACACTCTGCTATAGACTTTAAGTATTTTAATACATTCTAGAATATAGAGAAAGTGATTCAGACTATTCAAAGTACAATAGACCTGATTTCGAAGCAACTTTAACAGCAAATTAAACTAACCTAATATCCCATATAAATTACATTAGATACTTCAGAATACTTACAGATTCTAGGTCTTGAATATCTTTTTGTAATTGTTGGTTTTGCTCATTCATATTCATAATTATATTAAATATAGACTGCCTAGGATGCAATGTTCGATCAAACTGATGGTACATATTTCTCCAAAACCTTTATGGAAAAAAAAAATCAATAAATTGTGTTTAAGAAAATCAATAAATTGTGTTTAAGAAAAATCAAAATATAAATTCTTCAATGAGGCCAACTTACTTAAAATTGAAAGATATTGTATTTGGCTCCAAAACTGTAAATTTCTGAGATTTGGAACTGTAGAGAGGATTTAAGTACTTCTTTTGATCTTCCAAAAGAAATGGCCACAGAGAGTAAGTCTTCTCTTTCAACCTTAATATAATGAGAAAAACATAAAGAGGTGTCTCCTAATAGTCATTTTTATAAATCAGGCAATTGCTTCCGAAGTAGATTCAAGTTTTAGTTTTTTCTTCCATTTGCAGTATAACTTCTTGTCTCAGAAGCTTTATTCTCTTTTCTCCTTTTTCAAATAAAGTCATGTTTCTTGAACGCAACACAGATACATGTTTTCTCTCACAAAGGAATTTCTCTCAACTTACACAACTCCAAAAACTTGTTCTCTATTCTACCTATTTCAGTCAACACACATGTACACACAGGACAAGATGCTGATGTATCTCTACTCTTGGCCTTATTCTCTTAACTCCTACCTGGGCTATAGAGCAGGAACACATTTAATTGTGAGTGGGTACAAAAAGAAAAACAGGCAAAATCAGGACATTATGCAAGAGCCTTAATGCCAATTATACTGCAAATCTAAGAGTGGGTGGGTAAAGTGTAGAATGGTTGTAGATAGTACAATAACCGATAACATAACGCAGATAGAGATTTAGGAGGGAAAATCTCACTTTTCCATGACTCCTAAGATGATCCATAGGTGTCTTCTTAGATAAGAACTACTAGGAAACACCCACTTTTACTTCCCATTTCTGAGGATGTTTGACACTAATTAAGAATACTTGTTGCTAAAGTAGCTCAGTGTTCTAAGAGTCACCTGATCCAAATTATAATGTACTACTATAAATTACCACAGCAAACAGCTAGTCTTAATGTTGTTAGATTTGCTCTTCTCTGCCATACTCTACTCACTTGTTATTCCCTGTACATTTCTTCAGAATTTTGCACATGTTCTCACTTTGTTTAGAGTGTTTAGCATGTGAATGTCTTTAAACTACTGCCAGATTTAGCTTCTCTAATATGTCCTTAGAATGTCCAAGAATTTTTAAGTGCTCTTTACCATGGTCGCCCAGCTAGCTTAGTCGGTAGAGCATGAGACTCTTAAGTGCCCTTTACTGCTTACTGTAAGAAGTCTAAACTCAGAAGTTCAATCTAAAAGAAAGAACAAACATATATATGTATGTATGTTTTTTGAGAGAGACACACACACACATATACATACACATATATATAGAACCTTGCAGCATTACTCCAAAGATCTCCCATACATCAGCATTTAGCCACAGACCTGACCCAAAAATATTATTAGGAAATAATAGGTGAACTAGGGACAGACATATTGCAGCCAACGTGGGTAGATTTATTTTCAAAAAAAAAAAAAATGTTTAGAAATGTGAGCAGAATTATAAACTCCATCTTAACTTAAAAGAAACAAACAATTTTATATCTTTTAACCATAACTGAAAACTAGTGACCAGTATTGCCTGGAAAATAAAATAATGGGAAGATTTCTCTGTTCTAAACATAAGCAGACTGAAAGGAGCATAAGGGAAGTTTCTAGGGTGCTGGTTATAAATTAATTAAGAGTTACTGAGTGTCACACTTATGCTATCCATGCTTTTCTGCATGGATACTCCACTTCAAAACACATTTTAAAATGTATTTACAGTAAAAGTAGGGTTTAAAAGAAAAAATATATTTTTCCTATTACCTGGAGGGGTGGGGCATACTAGAATGATACTTAGCTTCAGCAAAGTAGATAACACTTTTACAATATAATTCAATTCTATTTCATATCGTCAAGACATTTTATTAAGTTCAACCATGACTTATGTTAGACCTCAGCTAAGAAAGGAAAATAAGAGCTTATTTTAACCAAATCATCTTACTTGAGTTCTTCTCTTTCCTTCTGACAATTTCCAATAAAGTTTCCAAATTGGCATGAATGAATATGTTCATGGATCTGAAGAAGAAATGCTTCATTGAATTCAAAGGCTTGTGGGAACTGTTCGGTCAAATGCCACACACATTCCAAGAACTGAGCAAATACTGGTGAGACTTCCTTTGGGTCACCATCCAAATGGCCACACCTAACCCCCAAGAAAGTACAAGCTTTTAAAAATGCCTCTGAAAGAAGTCCATTGTTGAGGTATTATTAAACTTAAAATATACCTACAAAAAATAATCCTAAAACACTGTTACATTAGCACATACAACCCAAAACTTTTTTATTGAAACCACAATTTTAAAGGATCTGTTACCTTCTAAATACTATAATCCAAATAAAAAGATAATAAATAGCCATGAAAATTACAAAAGTAATAGTATTTTTAAAACCAGAAAAAAATTAAAATACAGTAAAAACCACAGCATGCTTGCCTCCCATCAAAGATGCAAGTTCATAAAAAACACACATTTCAGTGTTCTAGTTTACTCATTTTACAAAATATAAAATGTATTACTTATGACTCACCTCTCTGAAAATTTATGTCCAAAAGAGATCCAATCTTTTTCTATTAAAACCTTAATGAGAAAAAGTAAAATCCACTTTATAATTGCTTTCAATTTTTTGTTTATTGTGGATTAAATCCTATTAATTTAAAAACAGCATTTACTATATACTGTTAATTTACAATTGCAAACAAACTAAACCAAAATGCTAACAAAGATTAACTCTGGGTGGTGGACTAGGATGAACGTTTTAAACTTTTTGGCTGACTTATACACTACTTATTTAATACTTTTTTCAAGAAACACTCAATGATAAAAAGATAAATGAAAACAGTAGTTTATATTCAAACCCAGACGTTAATATTTATCTTCCTGAATGGACTGTCTTTGTCTGTACGCCTTGCTATAGCTTCTTTACCTTCCACGTCCACTAAAATAATTCATTTCTAACTTTTTCAGTCTAATCTAAGCATATTGTCTTAGTATTTAATATGCTTCATGATTTCATTATATAATCACCAAGCATATTCTTTTCTTTCTTTCTTTTTTTGAGACAGAGCCTCAAGCTGTCCCCCTGGGTAGAGTGCCGTGGCATCACAGCTCACAGCAACCTCCAACTTCTTGGCTCAAGCGAGTCTCCTGCCTCTGCCTCCCAAGTAGCTGGGACCACAGGTGCCCACCACAATGCCCGACTATTTTTTGGTTGTAGCCATAATTGCTGTTTGGCAGGCCTGGGCTGGATTCGAACTCACCACCTTAGGTATATGTGGCTGAGCCACTTGAGCCACAGGCACCAAGCCATGCATATTCTTTTCAAAGTGTTTAACATTCCTACTTTCAGCTTCTCTGGTTTTGTCTTAAACCACTCTCATTTCAGCAGAAGGCCCTGTAATGGTTAAGAAATTACAATTTCTGAAGGGCCAGCACAGGCTCAAATCCTGGCTTCACTGGTTCTACACCACTGTGACCTTAGGCAAATGATCTTTGGCTGCAGCCACAGATTTTATTCTGGGCTCCCTGCCATTCTTCTACACAACCCCATCTAAAACTTATCTTTCTCACTGAACTTACTCTGCTGTTTATTTAAGTGAAGAACAGGACGGCAGACCATCCATCCTGGCAACTAACTCAGAAATCTGGAAATCCTCCTAGAGGACTCCTCTATTCTACCCACATCCAACCAATGACTGATTCTAATTAACTCTACTTTGTTAATCTCCCTGGAACCCATCACCTCTTCTTCTGCTTGTACATTGCCACCTTAGTTCTGGCACACCGGCCTCCTAGCCTCTATTCCCACTTCCCTCTGCCTTCAAGACACCACACACTCTTTTTAAAAAGCAGATCCAAGGGCAGACATGGTGACTCACACCTGTAATCCTTGCACTCTGGGAGGCTGACGCAGGAGCATCCCTTGAGCTTAGGAGTTCATGATCACGCCTAATGTTATTATATTCAACAAATGAAGGTGTTTCAAATGGAGTTTCCTCCAGAATATAATTTTTTAAGTACTCTCATTTGTGCCTTGTTTATTACTTATATTTGTCAGACAAAAGATGAGAAAATACTGAATATTTCTATTGTAACATTTTAGGAACAAAGAAAAATTTTAAATCTAAAGTTTTCTGGCAAGGAGGTAGCACACATGAAAATCAGTCTACATCAAGGTTTCTCAATCTCAGCAGTAGTGAGTTAAGGCCAGTAATTCTGAGCATACAACATGTTTAACAGAGGTATCCCTGGCCTCCACCAGGTGGGTGGAAGTTCCACCACTTTTGTTAGTGGAAAACTGTTTCCAAAATTGCCAAATATCCCAGTGGGGACAAAATTACTTCTACTTAGCACTGGGCTTCTTCTAAATAAACCCTTACCATGAATCCTTTGATTGTCCTATAGTAGGAATCCAACAGAAGAGAACCAAGGGAACAAACTTGGGAAGTCCTATCCCAACCATCAGAACAATGTACCAGCACACTTGCATTTTCAACCATTATTGCCTGAAAAGTAAGATCACATACTCAGACTCTAACAGAATACCTTTTAGGTAAATCAATAAATCCACCTACTCAAAAACCATATTATCAGGCATTGTATTATAAAGAAGAACTATGCCTGCACTGATAATGTCACTGAATAATTTCCAAAAAACAAAGAACAACATAAAACAAACAAAAGAGAAAGATAAAGATGCGGCTTTAACCTGAAATTTAAAAAAATAAAAAAATATTAAAAATATAAAAACTTTAAAATAAATAAAATAAAATAAGATTTTAAAAAATGCTGCATTATAGTACTTGGAAATTTCTTTTTTTAAGTTTCTACATTAAGAACTCCATACTAGGCTCGGCGCCTGTAGCTCAGAGTCTAGGGTGCCAGCCATATACACCAGAGCTGGCGAGTTCAGATCCAGTCCAGGCCTGCCAAATAACAATGACAATTACAGCCAAAAAATAGCCAGGTGTTGTGGTAGGTGCCTATGGTCCCAGCAACCTGGGAGGCTGAGGCAAGAGAATCAATTAAGCCCAAGAGTTTGAGGTTGCTGAGAGCTATAATGCCACAGCACTCTACTGAGGGTGACTCTGTCTCAAAAACAAAAAACAAAACACAAAAAACAAAACTCCATACTATTTTAAAAGCTCAAATTAAAATAAAATTCATTAAAGAGGTAAATAGATCAACTGGAATAGATGCCAGCCCTGAGAGAATAAATCTACCCTTTCCCAACCATTATAAACCCCAAAACCAAACATGAGAGGTAAAGTATTACTTTGGCCAAAAAGATTGCAGCGTCCATAACAGCTTTGATATGGCGAAGCCATCCCGAACTCTCTAGACCAGAGTAGAAATCATTGACAGTAAGGCCTTTGGTACCACTGACTAAAAGAGGGGGGGAAAAAACATTTCAATTAGAATGGAGCTAGAGTCTCCATTTGTCTTTTTTAAGATCTCTCTAGGTGAGTGAATTGAGAAAGGGACAAAATAAGTAGGCAAGATTCTTCATATATGAAAAATGCTATTAGAAGCTCAATAATGGATTTTGGGGTATATTTTTCTGTTATTCCTTGCTTTAAAAAAAATCCTTCAAACACTTACAAAAATCATAGCGTAAGTGTTTACCTAAAAATAGTTCCATATTTTAATTTTTTAATACCATGATTAGAAATACACTTTAATATTTAAATGGAACGTTACCATAAATTAATCTTCACTGGACTGACTACTTAAGAATATAACAATAGCACTTTTTTGCAAAACCATTAGAATTATACTATCTGATATAGCAGCCATTACTCAAATGTGGCTCCTGAACACCTGAAATGTGGCTTGTCCAAACTGAGATGTGTTATAAGCACAAAATACACATTTGACCCGAGGACTTGATGAAAAGCAAAGTATCTCATTACTAACTTTTATACTGACTCATGTTAAAATAATTGAAATTAATTTAGCTTGTTTCTTTTTACCTTTTAAAATGTGACTATTAGAAAAGTCTAAATTACATGTGACTAACACTAGATTTCTATGGGACAAAGCTGCCTAAAAAGTAAGTAATAAAATTATACCTTCCAATAACTTCTGAAGGCTGGATCTCATGACATGAATATTTTCAATCCCAACAAACTGAAATCTAATATTAGAATAGTTGTCTTCATTTTCATAACCTTTTCCAGCCGCTCTGTTGGCCATTGCATTTAGCTAAAATGAAAAATTATAGACATTTAGAGACAAATTACTTTTCTCTTTTAAATTAACTTACCAGAATGTCATGAAAACACTAAATAAGTCATATTTTAGCTAGGACAGAGTTTAAAGGACTGAGTAAGCTACCATTTTTCTTTCTTTCTTTTTTTTTTTAAGCTCAGCTATCTTTTTTATAGATAAGCTATCATTTTTAATACGCAGAAATGTCACGTTATTAACAGTAAAGAAAGGATAAAGTAGTATGATTGTTATATAATAGAAAGGTCCAGACAAGAAGTTCCCACAAGTTCATGAAACTAATTCATTTACACTTTTAGTCACTTTTCCATAAGCTTATAATATTTCAAAATTAAAAATAAATATCTCCTATCCAAATCCTAAACAATTCAGAGATAAGCAGAGCTGGGGAGCTTTTCTTTTACATAATGAATCTACAAGATCCATTTCAGAACAAGCCTAGAACTTGTGATCATTCAGATCACTCAAATTATTTAAAACATAAATAAAACATTATTTCTATGTTTTAAATAACTCTTAATTTACTCGCATTAATCTCATTTTCTTCATTATCTTTTGTGAATCTGCATAATGATGAGAATTACTTCTAAGATGGCTACCATTCCTTTCACAGAGCTGCCTGATCATTCAGAAAGCCACAAGGACCCTGAATGTCAGATCCGAAATATGTTTCCAATTACCTGAGGTCATCTATATAAGAGATTACTGCAGGCCCATATATCATATAATATGGCATATAATCTGCTATACTGTGCTAAAAATAAACTGGTCTCTAGGGAGAAAACAGACTGCCATAGACCCATGGTCTTTACTTACATATAAAAAGTCAAAATGTTATCAGAAGTTCCCTAAGGATTTGGCATGCTTAATTCCTTCAGACTAGAATTTCATACAGTACATTACTACAATTTGCTAAAAATTCTTATGAACTTGGATGAAACGGAATCTAAATCAGAAGAAAAAGTAGCCTTTCATTCAGTTAAGTGGGGCCCAGATTGGTAACTAGTACAGTTAAATTTTATCTACTGACTCACTGGTTATTCAGCACCTAAAGCAGAATTTACAGTTAGATATTAAAAACACTTCCTCATTATTAGGATCTGCTTTTAAGTTTAACTAGTAAAGCAATCAAAGAAAAACATATATTTTATGTATAGAAGATAATTGTACAAATAAAAGCTATTGCGTCCTGAGAAACGAAACACCATTGGACCCCATCTTCACCAGGTCTCACGTTACAATTGCCTCTTATATCTAATATTACCAAAAAAAGAGTTCTAATCCACTAATCAACTCAGATTATACAAGGAAGCAGAACAAAATTTTCTCATAGGAGATATCACCAACACTCTTAACTCCTAAGAAAATAAAAGATTATCAAGTTATTTCTATGTTTTAAAAAATTCTTAATTTACTCAAGATTAACCTCATTTTCATTATCTTTTGTGAGTCTGCATAACGATGAGAATTACTGCTAAAACAGCTACCATTCCTTTCACAAAGCTGCCTAAAATTGCTTGTTTTATATCGCTCACTCGCTTTTTCTCATCGCTTTCTCTTATTTTCTCATCATTCCAGATTTTTGAAGAAATCCTCACTACAATTCTGCCAATGTCCTTTTGTGTAGCCCACCAGCTCTGCATGCGATGCTATAATAAAAATTAAAAGGAATGTTAGCTGTTACCATGGAGAATTTTCATTACTTTAGTTTTAGGACCCTAAATGAATTGGTAGTTAACTGTGTTAGGAAAAAGGGATTCTGGTATTTATCCCAATGACAAAAATTTATCCCTATGCCACAGATGCTCTACTTCAATGTTTCCTAGGTTAACTCACTACCGGTTTTATTTTTTTGAACATTTCAAATCAACGTCCACTATTTTAACATGAAGTGTTTTGCCAATTAAAAATTCTACCAAAAAGAGTAATAAGGATTTACAATTTTTCACAACACATATAATTTAGTGTTTCTTCAAAACAACATAGGACTTATATTTTGTGACATGGATATATTGGGAGAAAAAAGACAAAGACTAATAAGAGTTCTCAACATAAAATTCAACTTTCCTAAATTTTTATATATATCAAAAGACATAAGAAATTACCTCCTGGATTACTGGGAAATTGATCTTCTAAGTTGGTATCTTTTAAATAAAGGATTGAATTCCTTAGTATCATTAGCCTCAGTTTATTTAAAAATAGGATTTGAATATTTAAATATGGGCAAATTTGTTAACTCCCACTAATTAATGTAATAAAGATGATTAAACTAACAAACTGTATGGTATTTACGATACATACTTTGGGCCTGGTGTCCATGACATACATATAGCGATTGACTGGATTGGCTTTACTGATGGCTTGAAGCAAGTGTTCGTCCTCCAGGCACCTGGCACTGAATCCTGACAATGGTTGACTACATCGACAAATGGCAGCCTAATTTTAAAAAAGACAGAAAACAGATTATGCCAAGATCTCTAAAACATGCCTTTAAAAATGCTTAAAAGAAAAAAATTAAAGTGATATAATCCAATACATGTATGTCAATTAGAAGACACAAACTTTGAAATCCTCTTTACTATTTCAAAATCCTAAATTTTCCCAATATTTTCTTCTTCTAAGAAAAGTCAGTGACTCCTTATCCAGTTTGAAGAAAAACTTAGGTTGATTCTCTATCAAGTAACCTACTGTTAAAATACCTGCATTATATGCTTTATTTAAATTATAGGATATTTTCAACTCAAGTTCAAGTAAGGGCTTAATTAACATAATACATAAGAACTGTTAAGTGATAACACTTCAATTTTTATTTTCCAAAGGCTTTCAAAACTCTAACTACAAAGTAATCTTTATTACAAAAGGAGACATAAAATTAGAAAAATGAGCTTTAATTCAAATTTGAGTTAAAACATAAGTCAATCTAAGACAGAAAAAAATCTGTAAGTAGTAAATGCTTTATTGTTATTCAAAGTCCTAAGAAAGGTTGAAAAGATTTAGACTCACATATTAATAATTTTTGCCAATGAAAAAAGTAAATATAAATTCACACATTTCTATATTTTAAATTCACACATATACTTCCTTGTTTTTGTTAAATTGGGCATTGAATATCTATTTTCAGCTCAGCTTTACAGTAAACAATGTATACAAACATTGGGGTGTCAACAGAGCCCATAACCAAGTAACCTCCCTATGACTTATAGAAAGCAGATGAGAAACCTGTTAACTCTTACCCTCTGCTCCCTTCCAAAACCCAAGTAAGGTTCTAACAAAGTAAGTTAAAATGTATAAAACCACAAGGACAAAGAGAATGAGAAAAAACACAAAAACAGGTATGTCAATAAAATTTGGGGAAAAGAAAGCAGATGGGTAGATGCCCACATTTGCTCCATCCCACATCCTTGCATCTTCCTTCACTGCTCTTAACACTGTTTAAAATATACATGTTGAATGTGTGGCCATTTGATATCAGCTCCATGAGGACAAAAAAGTATGAGTATTGGCTGTGTTCAAAACCACATCAGCAGAAATTAGTAATGTGCCCCTCATGTCTTCGAATTAATCAATTCCTGGAGGGTCTCCTCTGTTCCAGCACAGTAGTGTTCTGCCAGTTCAGCTCTTCCTGCAGAGGTATTTCACCCTAAGTGTGTCCTCTATGCCAGGGTAACTGGTGACATCAGTGCTAATGTCTCTGCACACTGTGTCATAGTGGAATCCAGGAAAAGGGGAGCAGCAGCAAGGCACTCAACAGGCCTGAGTTTGAACCTTGCCTCAGACCTTAAGTGGCCCCCTGGGCATGTTACTTAAATTCTCTCAACCCGTATACTTAACCATGAACCTGTCAAATTCTGGACAAAAGACTAATAGTATCTTCACATTAAGACTCTTGAGAGTTAATTGTGAATAAAGCATTTGGAACAATTAGTTAGCATCCACAATCAATATTAACTCTAATGATTGCCCAGTCATTTATTGTCATTTATATACTTCCATTTAAAAGTGTATCTTATCAAAATTAAAAAATTTAAAAAAAAAAAGAAAGCAGATGGGCAACTAACAAGCAGGGCAAAGAAAACTGCCAACCCCTTTAAGTCAATTACAAAATATTGTGTAGCAAAACCCTAGGCACACTCAGGAACTGGTACTTCCAAAGGTAGGGACAAAGGCATGAGACTGGAAGCAAGAGAAATGGTTGAATGTCAGTGTAAGGCCTAGCTAAGACTCAAGCATCTTCCCACACCAAAGACAAAAGTTTATTCTATAAAGAGGATGAACCAAGACCCTGGTAATAGACACACCTGTGGGTGGGGATAAAGCCCTATACCCCTCCAAACCCAGGATTCTTAAGGAAAGCCTACTAACAAGGTTTTATGAGATCCTTCCATCACTCTTCTCACATGTGGATCATAGCCAGACTTACTATATACAATGGGACCAAAATTAGAGGATTCATCTCTAAGGAAACCAATTTATACAACAAATAGAATTCAAAGATAAAAACCTTTTGTGCACATGAGCTTCTAGAAATAGCTTAAATATGAAAAGTCAGAACGTGAAAGACCAAAAAAATATGGTTTTATACATTTTAACTTTATTAGACCCTTACTTAGATTTTGGAAGGGAGCACCGGTAAAAGCTAAGAGTTTAATTAGAAAAGCTTCTGATCTGCCTTCTATAACTAAGTGATAGGGAGATTGCCTAGTTATGGCCTCTGTTGACATACCTATGTTTGTATACATTATTTGTTGAAAAGCTGGGCTGAAAATGGATATTCAATGCCCACTATAAAAAGGTCTTAATAAGATAATCCTGGTTTTCTTCTGTTATTTTATTAAATGTTCATGGTTTTAGTTTGTATGTAAATTTAAATACAGAAACATGCAAATTTATATTTATTTTTTTAAAAAGTCTTCAACCTCAGCCAGGTGTGGTAACTCTTGCCTATAATCCTAGTACTCAAGGAGGCCAAGGTGGGTGGATTGCCTGAGCACAGAAGTTCGAGACCAGTCTAAGGGTGAGACCCTATCTCTACTAAAACTAGAAAAAGTAGCTGGGTATCATGCTATCAGCACAGCACATGCTTGTAGTTCTAGCTACTAGGGAGGCTGAGGCAAGAGGACTGCTTGAGCCTGAGAGCAAGAGTTTGAGGTTGCTGTGAGCTATGACCCCATAGTACTCAACATGGGGCGATGAGTGAGACTCTGTCTCCAAAAAAGGGGAGGGGGAGGTCCTTAGAGAACTAAAACATCACATCCAGTAAAACTGTCTAAAAAGATCAGAAATAGGAAAGAGCTCTTGCATGTTAAAAATATGACAACAAAAATAAAGAATCAAAAACAAAAACTGGAGATAAGGTTCAGGAAATCTTTAAAAAAAAAAAAAAAACAGAAAAGAGGTGAAAAAGGGGGAGAAAGTTAAAAAAAAGGAGGTCTATTCTATGAAGCCCAATTGTCAAATAAGAAAAGTTAAAAAAAATAATCAGGCTGGTATGTTAGCTCATGCCCATAATCCCAACACTTTGAGAGGCAGAGACAAGAGGATTACTTGAAGCCAGGAGTCTGAGACCAGCCTGGACAACATAGCCAAACATCATTCTCTACAAAAAAATTTTTAAAGAGAAAGCCAGAGATAATGGTGCTCATCTGTAGTCCTAGCTACTAGGGAGACTGAGGTAGGAAAATCACTTGAGCCAAGACTTAAAGCTGCAGTGATCACACCACTGTACTCTAGCCTAGGCAACAGAGCAAGACTCTGTCTCAAAAATAAATAAATAAATAAATAAAAGAAAGAACATTAACAGAAGAGGAAGATATACAGACACAAATTCCCCAAACTGCAACCTGAGTTTCTAAATAAAATTTTAAGAGATATACCAAGGAATATTGCTGTGCAATTTCAGAACACTGGGGAAAAAGATGATTCTAAAAGTTCCCAGAGAAAAAAATTAGATTGCAAAGGATTAGGAGTCAGAAATGGCATAGAACTCGCGACATATAAGCAAAGTGATTTGTCCTCTCTGAACTTCAGTTTCCCATTTGAAAGTTACAGGTAATTAGTAAAGTCTATCTTACATAGTTACAAAGACATGCATACAAACTATTTAATATTCAGTATCTCCTGCCCTTCTGTTAGTAGGCTACAAAGTAAGTTTTACTGTAAAAAAGCAACCATGTTACAACATCTCACTATAAAGATGCCTCTTCTACCTCTTCGTGTGGCAAAATCCTTTTTATTTGAGCTACTATTAAAACGGAAACCTGAAATGCCCTTGGCTCTGTCCCTTCTCTCAGTAGTTTTCTTATCAAAACTATCCAGTTTCCCCAAATACAAGAAGGATCAAAAGAGAACGAAAGGAAAAGAAGAACCACCTATCTGTTCACTAATCCTATTATTTTTAAGTCATTATTGGAAAGGAGGGACAGAAGATGATAACAAGAATTAGGAAAATTTCTGTATTTCAATATAGTCATGCTTTAAAACACTCGTGTCCCAAAGTGGGGCAGTAGGGACTGACCCCATCAATGTTTTGTTTTTGTTATGTTCTATTGTCTCACATAAACAAATATACAAACATAACACTGGTGGGGTCAGTCCCAGACTCCCCACCTTTGGGATGTAATTGTTAAAATTTCAAGAACGTTAACTGAACAAAAAGCCAGGACTTCTCTATTACTAACCTTTTAATGTATACAAATGTTCTTTTAGATGCTTAAACCTGAAAGAGGAGTTATATTATACTTATAAATTTAAAAGAAAGCTTCCTACCTCCTTATCTTGATGATAGTAGGAAAGAACTGGGAATCTCCCCTTGCTCCGGAACTTGGAACTACCAACAATTATTGGCTTGCTTGCTATCCGGGGAACATAAAGTTCTCTGGGATAAGTTTCACAAATCTGTAAATACCAAATAAAATATAATCACTCTATTCATAGTTAAAAACCACCTTTAAAAACCTCTAGGCCTTCTTACATGCAGGAATAGCACACAGCAGTACACAGCTTGTTACTCTGACACTCTGGTGCTAACATCTTCTTAATTTCTTCAAAAGGTTACGTTACCTTGTATTCTCGGTTGGCATCAGACAACTGCCAGTGTGTATTTGGCAATCCCATCCTCTCATATTCCTCAGCAAGATCAATGAGCTGCCAGCCTTGTAGTTGTTCTGAATCATTTTGTTTGGGATTATAAGAAAACGCATAGAGATCTTCATATTTTGCTATATGAAAATAGGAATGTCAATAAAATTTTTTATGGTATGTTAATAAAATTTTTTGTATTTCTTAACACAAAATTTAAAATGTTAAAATGTAATTTCTAAGACATCATATACTATCAGCTATGCGCTGCAGCTCGTGCCTGAATCCTAGCACTCAGGAAGGCTGAGGTTTGAGGTAAAGAGTTGGAAACAATGAGCAAGAGACCCCATTTCTACTAAAAATAGGGAAATTCACTGCATCAAAGCTGGTGCCTATAGGCCCAGCTACCCAAGAGGCTGAGGTAAGAGGATCGCTTGAGCCCAGGAGTCTGAGGCCACAGTGAGCTACAATGATATCACTGCATTTACCTACGGTGACAAAGAAAAACTCAAAAAAGGACCTAATATACTACAAATAAAGTAATTTTTCTTCATTTTTGTTTTAAAATCTTCAAAGACATGGCCAATATATGAACATATTTGAACTTAACATTTTCTGAGTTCTTTAATGCAAATGATTATACCTTAAGGTACATATATATTGATCTAAGATTTGATATATGGCATCAGCAAAAGTTAAGGTAATAAACAATATAGTTAGACTCATGTTAAATCTTCTATCGCATATTTCTTTTTCTTAAAAGTAAAATTTTAAAGACAAATAGGTACTCAGCACTTTTCCTAAATGAGACATAAAATGGAAAGACTAAGGCTGTAATGAAAAACTCAAGAAGGCATATAGAACACAGAATTGCATTATACACTTCTACAGGAGTGCTGATCAAAAACAGCAAGTGTTCCATGGAGTCCAGGAAACACTACTGAGCAATGATCAGCCCTGGTGTCACACAGCTATCTTTACTAAAAGCTCTAGCTTAGCTTGGGACAAGAGGATGTTACAGGCTCTACAGGAGAGAAGAGCAAACACAGACCTGCTCCTAGACTGCAGGCTGCAATCCAGGCTGCTCAACAGAAAACCAATTCAGTTTATAATTCAAGTCACGTTGGGGAAGAAAGCTCCCACATCCCCAGGATGTAAGCAGTGCTAAGATTCTTCCTGAGGGCTTACATTCCTCTCAACCTTACCTCTGCTATCGACACACTTTAAATACGTTAATGTAAACCAATGGTTTCTTAAGTCTGTACTATTCAGACAACATTCTGACAATTCAGATCAGTAGTTTCTAATTATTTCTAGACCAATTTGGGGAGAAGAGTACACAAGAACCTGAATGTCAAAGTGATGTGAGGTATAAAATAACAATAATGAGACATTAAATAAAGTATCTTGAATAACCCATCTCAAATTGACCACGTACGCTTTGCTTTCTAAGAATAATACCTTGTTGTTTTTTTTTTTTTGGTTTTTTTTTTATTTTTTTTCTTTTTAAAAAGGGGAAAGCGCGAATGCAGTCCCCCACTACCACAAATTATGCAGTCGAGTTTCCCACATTTGGGGAAATCGCAGGGGTCAGCACATCCGGAGTGCAATGGATAAGCCTCGCCCTGGGAAAACCCCCTTCGTCATCATGGTATCTCCCCTGCCAGGTAAGTATATAATACCTTGTTTTGACAGCTGCAGCAAAGAGTTGTAAATATCATGGCAATCTCTTTCTCTGGGAACGATGAAATGCACAATTCTGAAGTTCTTGCACTGAATCACAAGCGGGCATCCTGTAGTAGTCAAAGCAAGTTTCTCTACTGAGGCAATATGGTGGTGCAAAATCTACAGCATAAAAAACAGTCAAGTCATCAATACAGAAAGCACTAAGTATTCTAGAGTATGTGTTAGAAATGCACTCCTTAAATAAAGTTGCCAACGCTATATACTACTCACTCAAACTACAAATTTTTAAATGACTGAATGCCCAACTCAGAAATATGAGTGTCACTCCGCTCCCTCCTCCATCACTCCACACCCTCAACAGAGAATTAGACCCCAAGAACTGCAACTCCTAAATCTCTGTAACCTGTGCACTTCTTTCCATCTCTACTGTCACTTCCAGAGCTGCAATGTCCCCACTGAACTACTATAAATAAACAGCTCCATATCTACTTTTGGCCCCTCTGATCCATTTTCTGCAAGATAGTAAAGTGAACACTCAAAAGCAACCTACAAATAAGTAATCTGGTTATTTCTCACTTTCTCTAGCCTCATTTCAAGTCTCTCCTCCATCACTAACTATGCTCTAGTGACATTTGCCCTCTTTTTGTCCTTCAAATGTGCCAAGCTCCTTTATACGTGCTGAACTGCTCCCACTAACTAGTACACTGTCATTCTAACACTTCACCTAGGAACTTCTAGTCCAGTGGTTCTCAACCTTCCTAATGCTGTGACCCTTTAATACAGTTTCTGTGAGTCGCAACCCACAGGTTAAGAACCGCTGTTCTAGTCATATTTCCAGTCTCTGCTTACAATTCATAATATTAGTTGGGGGTGGTGGATGCATGCCTGTAGTCCCTACTTAAGAGGCTGAGGCAGGAGGATCACTTGAGGAATGAGCGTTTAAGGCCATCTTGAGTTATATAGCAAGACCCTGTCTCTCAAAAACAAACAACAAAGCCTCATAATATAAAAAGTATACCTTGACATGCCCCATAACCCTTCCCATGTAGGTTAATCCCCTTTATTTTCTCATTGCATATCAAACTACACTTTTCCTCCAGAGCACTTTTACATGAGTAATTAGTTGTATGGTCAATGTCTATTTCTCCAGGTAGGCTGTGGGCACTTCAAAGAAGCAAGCTCAGCCTATTTCATCTCCAGCACCTAACAGAGTACCTGAAGCATTATAATTGCCCTCCTCCATCAAAAAATCTTGCAAATGTTATATGTCAAATGCATTACAAATTCCAACTTTAATTCTTTTGAATGATTGAAAGTCCAAGCTAGAAATATGAATGTCATCCTTGACACCTCCTTCATCGTAAGATATGTTTACTGAACAAATAGATCAAAACTCCCACTACAAACTCAATACTGGATGATATTTTAAACATGATTGTCATTCTCACCTTCTACTGGTAATACTGTGTTTGCTACTAAAATGTCTACTTTGTCTTAATACTATTCCCATTAATTTAAAATATTTATAGAAAACTTTTCTGGAGAACAAATGTGTGCTATATATGACAAAGAAATAAAACCCAGAACCCACAAAATCAATAAAAGACAAAGAATCCAACAGAAAAAGAAAAGAAAACCCAAGGATCAAAACATCTGGAAAATGTAACTTCTTTGTATCAGCCAATGAATATTACAATTGCACATCTACAAGATAGGCAAAAAATTTTAAGTTGATACCAGCGTTGCTGAGGACACAGAACAACATGTAACCCTCCACTGAGGATAATAACTTGGAACGACATTTTGAAGAGATGACAAAGTAAGGTTAAATATATAATGTGCTTACCCAAGACCCAATAATTTTACTCCCAGGCAAATATCCCAGAGAAACTCTGGCACGTATATAGGAACAAACATATATAAGACATTTGCATATGTAAATTTTCACATATACCTAAAAGTATACTTGAGTACATATAAAAGTATACTTAAAAATGTATTACATACATTTTATATACATATATAAGATGTTGGTATATGCATACGTATATTACATTTATACTACTAAAAAAAAATTAGGCATCTTAGTTGCAATTTGGTATAAAAATACTGTGTACCAAACAATCAACCTATTAACACATACATATATTACTTACATTTATTAAAATTAAAAGGAACAAATAAGTATTTTAGAATCATTTATGAGATGAAAAGAGCCTGGGATTCTATAGAAGAATTTAACACTATGCATGGTATCACTGATTTACTAGAAGTGAGGGCAGAAGTGGTTTGGTTACAGGAAAAATTTTTGGTTGAGACAGGTAACCAGTAATTAAAACTTTTGTTGCACATGTTCACAATAAAACACAGCAACAGACCAAGTCCGTTATTATCAATGTGATAAACAGTACAGCTGTGGTCCTCCTTACCCAGGTTTCTTTTTGATGAGCGTCTATAAATAATAGATGTGTGGCTGTAAGATACAGTGTTCCTGTTAAGGACTTATTGCCGGTACTGAATCGGTCCAGTACTTTTACTTGTTCAACCTAAAAGAAAAAAAGATGTTATTTCTCACTTCAAAAACAGTGTAAATTTATTTCTGTTATCCCAGAACTTATTATATATGCACCCATTTTTTATTTTTCCTGTCTTCTGTCTAAAAAACATAAGAGCTTATTTAATTCTCAGTGTTAAATTTCATATATAAGCCACAAACAATACAGATATTATTTATAGCTATAAATGTAGCCAGTAGAGAAAAAACTATTTTTAAAAAGCAGTAATACATACATCAAGGGGGAGAGAGAAAGAGGTATGTGGTAGAAAAAAGCAGTAACATTTTTCATACCGAGTCAATCAATACTGAAGTTGAAAAATCAAGTAGTAAGAATTTAAGGTTATTATCTAGAGTTCTAAAAGTCACCTACTAGAAAAATTAAACCAGGAACCGGATAAATCAGGCGTCCTCAAACTATGGCCTGCGGGCCACATGCAGCCCGCCAAGGACATTTATCCAGCCTGCCAGTGTTTTTGCTGCCACTGCCTGTCCTACTTAGCAGCCAACTCATCCCTGGGCCCGTAGTCCGGCCCTCCAATGGTCTGAGGGACAGTGAACTGGCCTCCTATTTAAAAAGTTTGAGGACCCCTGACTGATAAATGATTGCAAACTCCAACTTAGTCTCTATATTCTCCTCAGCAGCCCAAACCAGGACAATAACTGTTTTGTGCACAGCTCTGGGCTTTTGCTCACACTGTTCTCCTCCCTTAAGTGGGCTCTTCTGCTGAGCTAGTGCTAAGCATTCTTCACGGCTCACTGATGCCCTGTCTTCCCAGAAAATTAATTCATTACTTATGTCTTGGCTTCATATTCCTTTCTAGCTTGGAATTTCCTGGTATAGATTCTGTTCCTATACTGCTTCTACCTCCTTTGATGCCTGAGGCAGTGAGGTACATAGTATGTCTTTATCGATACTAGTAGACACACACACACCTACACACACAGTTGCCACTGGAGTGGAAGGTGGGATTAGGGTTGAACAGGAATGTGCAGGAGACTACTGCTTTGAAATTTAGTGCTTCTCACCTTCTGGGGGAAAAAAAAAGTACCACTACCAACTTAAAAACTTTTAATTTCTACATGAGAAGAAAACACAATTAAATTCAAGAACCAGGAAGGTGGGCATGGGAGGTTGGTACGTTCCCACCTATTGGGTATAACGTAGGGGTATATGGAACACTTCCTGGGTGAAGGACACAACTTCAACTCAGACTTTGGACTTTGCCTCATAAAATGTAAATAATGTAACCTAATTGTATGTACTCTCATATTAACCTGAAGTTTAAAAAAAACAATTAAAAAAAAACCCAATTTACAGGTATAGCAGCATATTATAGAACAGCGGTTCTCAATCTGTGGGTTGCGACTCACAGGAACTGTATTAAAGGGCCACGGCATTAGGAAGGTTGAGAACCACTATTAGAGAAGATAGTTCTTTACATTGTCGATGTCTACACATCTAGCCGTTATCTCACGAATTCTATACTTTTCTCCCACATATTTTTTCCTTTCCATTACTAATGAAGAACAGAATGCCCCATTATGAAATTATGATTTCCAAAGTAATTAAGCATCAACCACCACTCCCTTCCCCAATCCCATAAACTTATTTTCATGAAGTGATTTTGCTTATAACAGCACTTATTCAAATAGTTAATATTTACCAGCCTGACCAAGAGTGAGACACTGTCTTTACTAAAAATAGAAAAACTAGCCTGGCATTGTGGCCTCTATAGTCCTAGCTACTAGGGAAGCTGATACAAGAGGATCATGGAAGCCCAAGAGATTGAGTTTGCTGTGAGTTATGATGATGATGCAGTGGGCTGCATACTACCCAGGGCAACAAAGTGAGAGTTTGTCTCCAAAAATAAAATAAAATAAAATAAAATATATATATACATGTATATATATATCAATACACACACAGTTAAAATTTATTTTTATTTATTTATTTATTTATTTATTTATTTTTTTTTTTTGAAGCAGAGCCTCAAGCTGTCCCCCTGGGTAGAGTGCCGTGGCATCAGACCTCAACCCCACCTCCAACTCCTGGGCTCAAGCGAGTCTCTTGCCTCTGCCTCCCAAGTAGCTGGGACCACAGGCGCCCACCACAACGCCCGACTATTTTTGGGTTGCAGCCATCATTATTGTTTGGTGGGCCCGGGCTGGATTCGAACCCCCCACCTTAGGTGTATGTCGCTGGTACCTTAGCCACTTGAGCCACAGGCGCCAAGCCTTAAAATTTAAATATAAAATTTAAAAACTTGTTTTTGATACAAAATGTTATTTGCACAGGTAAGACAAATTCAATTTTAACACTTTCCTCTGGAAACTTAAGAGATACGTATATGATCTAATTTAAACAGCTAAGGTCTGATAGTTGATTTACATACAAAAACTGTCTGATCGTTACACATTGTTCTTTTAAAAAATAGGAAGGCTTACCAATCACAAACATGAAAAGAGATTTCTTATGGAGGTCAACATTTATTTCATTGTTTAGGACCATTTCTTCTTTAAATAAAAATCTGTCTTCATTATACCATTATACACTGAATCAAAACTTAAATTTAAACATCTTTTAAGACAAATGGGATCAACTATTGTCTACTTTTCTTCGTTTTGCCACTCTTGGCTAGGAAGGGCAAAGACTTTGTGCAGGCACACTTGTAAGAAACTGAGGCAGAATCCCATGAGGCCAGGTTAGTTGCGGGCCTAACATGACCAAGGCTTTGGCTGGAATAGCATTTCCAGACTGCGTTAAGGACTTAAGGTTGACTTTATAAGGCCTATGAAAGGCTTTTGAGAAGTCCAGCCTGAGAATTCCTTATAAAAGGCTCCAGCAAAAACTACCTGACTTAAGGCCTACATGGGAACAGAGGTTTGCACACGAATTCTTGTATGCCCAAGAAGTTTCTCTATGCTTTGCTTAAGGATTTGAAGTAACTGCCTCCAAATGGCATGGTCAATAGAACAGATATTCAAATCATGTTTCCCCGTAGCCTCAGGCTTCATCAGATAAGAACAAAGAAAGTAATAACTGACAACCTGTTCTTCATTAAGTTATGTTAAACTGGGTTATGTTGAAAAGATTATGCTTAAAGGTGTATGTTGGGTAGATTATCAGATTACCAGGGAGGAGCTACTTATAGAGTGGGGTGGTCATATGATGTTTAAATGGATTAATGAAGTCATTGATTTCCAATGCACATGTGCAGAGGGATTATAATGAGTATTTATGAGGTCATTGCTGTATAGTGCGCATGCACAAGATTGCCTATAAAAACCAACAGCAAATAAAGAAAGCTCGCCATTTTGCCTGAGCGAGCAGATGGTCACCTTTATTTAAAACACAATTTCAATAAGCGTGCTTATTCTTTACAATATCGCTTTTCCGTGAGACCCTTACGGCAACATTTCCCATAGGAGAAAACAGAAAGTGTCCACAGTTTATCAATGGTCTCTTCTGTCGCAATCATTCAAGGGATTTATTTATTTATTTATTTTCTTGTTTTTGAGACAGAGCCTCAAGCTGTCCCCCTGGGTAGAGTGCTATGGCTTCACTGCTCACAGCAACCTCCAACTCCTGGGCTCAAGCGAGTCTCCTGCCTCAGCCTGCCAAGTAGCTGGGACCACAGGCGCCCGCCACAACGCCCGACTATTTTTTGGTTGCAACCATTATTGTTGTTTGGCGGCCCTGGGCTGGATTCGAACCTGCCACCTTAGGTGTATGTGGCTGGCGCCTTAGCCGCTTGAGCCACAGGCGCCGAGCCCATTCAAGGGATTTATTAACGAAGAGTCTTCTTTATTCCATTATGCTATTCCTCTGTTCTCTCTGATGCCTTTTCCCTACATGGTGGGTGAATACTAGATATTTATTTATTCAGTAATTCATGAATAAGTGAGTACCAAACTAAAAACAAGGAGACAAGCTACTAGTAGGAGAACAGGTATAGTTCAGCTTTGTTTCTGTGAAGACTTTCAGTGAAAGTCTATCCCTACCCCAACACCCAATTAGGACAAAATCACTCTTCCTCTGAACCTGTATAGTAGTCACAGTTCTTTCTGGCTGCCTCTCCTGTCAAGATGGCAAAATTGGCTTGAAAATGCTCTTTCTAACGCTTTAAGCCTATTTCCTGATCCCTCTTAGTTTTACAGCCAAAACTGTCTAGAATTCCCTTTGTTAGTCTTTAATTTTGGTCAGCTACATACAAGCTTTAAAGCCCAGCTAGCTATTCATCTGAAACATCTCCAAATCTTTGTGAAAGTACAAATCCCAAGCCTTACTTCTACTCCATTCAGTCATCTGAGGAGATGGAGGCCAAGAATCTGTATTTTTAAAATCACTGCTCATTCCTATACAACTGATATTTCTTCTAACTTCAACTCCAAATTAATGCCTCTTGCTCTTAACTTACAGGATGCCAAATTCCTTCTCTACCTTTAGGCTCATTTCCTGAACATTTAAGGCCCCAGCTTGTCTAGTTCTCCCACTTTTTAAAGGAGCTTACTGCAATTGTGACCCTAACATGAACACACACACACTTATCTTTGAAAAACATGTAGATAAATACACAGAATCAGGAAAGATGGTATACTAATTCACTCAACACAAATTTACTGGCTAGCAACTGAAGGCCAATCTGTCTGGGTCTCATTTTTCATCTCTCAAATAAGAAGAATCTCTTCTTCAGAGGGCTATAGGAAGGTTGGATAATAAATGTTAGATACTTTGCCCTTGTTTGCACAAATAAATGTTTACAAAAATTACCACAGTTAGTAATCTAGTATGCTAGGTTGAGTCCTGGCAAACCTGTGTCAAGCTACTATCCAGTTAAGTTTGAATGGAGAAAGGAAGAAGGATGGACATGGAGTTTAAAAAGCAAATTCCATATTCTAATGTGCTCTATAATTAAAAACTACTGCTTTTCTCATATAAATATTGAAAGCAAAGATAAAGGCTCAGCACCTGTGGCTCAAGTGGCTAAG